GGGGTAAACTTTAGAAGCCAAACTTCACAACAGCCACTTCATTACAGAAGGAACCCCAGAGAAGTGCTCAAAACTAACATCTCTGTGGCAATGCAAGGATGGCCCACATGAAGAGGATGAGATTTCAATGTGCCAACCATAAGGATTCCCAACAGAAGATTACAGGAGATACTGGATTTGGGACATTTTCACTGGTCCTTCCCAGTAAGCCTGTACAGCAAAGGTGTCCAACCTTCCTGATACCCTTAACAAAAAATGCATGTAGTCCGGGGAGATGATGATGAGGAGGATGTTCTGGGAGCAGTTTCCAGGCAGAAGACAATGGCTCTGCTGGTGTCCCAGCCATCTGCTGCTGCACGGGGCTGAACCAGGCATGCAGCTGGATCCTGGGTCAGCCAAAGCCTGCTGGCTTCAGCAGCCCCTTTAGAGCTGCTTTCCCTTAGTGCTGGGGATTCAGGTTATCTCTCACCCCAGCATCAAAGCCTGTCTACCAAATATGTGTCACTGCCTTGGCACAGGTCCTGCGTTTAACAGACCATAGGTTTACCATCGTTTACATTTCCTGTTTTTTTTCTGCAACCATAAGGGTTAGAAAGCATTTTTTAAGAATGAAAACTGAGAATTGGAAGTCAGCATGCCTCTAGTTGCTTTCATGCAATATCTTAGTAACTACAGTACTCGTAAGTATCAAAAAAATATAAGAAAGTAATGACACTTTGTAATAAAATAAGGAGCCCTCTGAAGATAAGAAAGGATGAGGACTTGGTGTTTTTTGTTCATGAGCAATGGAATGTCAAAGAGCAAAGCAAGCCTGGTAAGGATTGCTGGTTATATTTAAAAGCACATGCAGACACGCACACGCACAAAAGATCACTATGGAAAAAGTGCTGCTTAACTGTGCATGAATGAGCCCAGCAGCTCAGGCACTTTGCTAAGCTCTAGCAGGAAGAGGGAAGTACCACAAGGGACATTCCTAGGTGCCCACCCACAGTAAACAGTGGGGCTAATGCCTGAACAGATGGGCTAGGGCAGGTGGCAAAGGGCTGTCCTGGCTCCCTGCATACCCATACCCATGCACGCAGGTGGAGGTGAGTGTGCGCTTGGCTCCGGGAGCCACCACGAGCAGAAGGGCAGTAGCACCAAGCTTGCACAGGAAACATTCCCCTTGCGTCCCAAAGCAAACAGCAATAAAACAAACTGCTAATGAGGATGCAACCTGACCCTCTGCAGAATACATGCCCAAGGACTGGCTCTGTAAGGGGCAGGGAAGGAAGAACTCTGCTGGCAGAAACTTCAAGCTCAAGGGGATGTTTTTTAAAACAGCAACTGAAAAATTGATTGGGTATTTTGCTGGTAGTAAAAGTTACTCACAAAGTAACACAGAGCAAACACTTCTTTGAAGGAAAGACAAGTCTGTTAAACAGAGAACCCTACCCTGCGGAAAGAATTCATTTTTAACACTAAGGTTAACATTTCATTTTTTATAAGAAATCCCAATGAATCTTCCCTTAAGACTCTTCAAATCCAGACAAGACACTTCTCTTTTCCATTCTGCCTGTTGACCTACTCTGCTGATCCTTCTTTCCAGGAAAGAAACAAACTTTTACTCCTGTTTTTTGCTTTTCTTTATTAGGCTGTTTATCACACTGTTACCCAAACCATCCTCAGACCTGTCAGAGCCTGTGCCAGCACAACATCTAGATTTTAGTAGCTTACAATAGGAGACCAGCAGCTCCAGAAAACTAAAGAACCCATGAGGGAACCAGACATAACAACATTCACAACCCTTCTCTCTTATTTTAAAAGGCAAGAAAACAACATATAATACAGAAGCCTCTTCTAAAGAAGGTAAAGGAACACATTTAACGTAGTGAAAGGCAAACTGTCATTCTAACATGTTCCTGGGTTTTGGGAGTCAAAGTAACAGTAACACTTAGCAAGGAAGATATGATGGCACAATGTAGTTGGTTTGGGGGAATATATCATTGAAAGCTTCTTTCAGTTAGGAGCATAAACCTGGATTGTGCTCTGCAAAGAAACTATGATAGCCATGAGTAATCCAGGATGTAAGAAGTTTGGGAATTAATTATCTAGGCACAGTATCATAGAAATGTAAATGATAATTTCTGGAGTAGTACTAATCAAAAATGAAAGATTTTGCAAGCAGTTAAACACGGGCTTTAATGTTAGTATCACAACCATCTTACTGAATAAAACAGACATGAACACAGTCCTTGAACACTTTGGAATTATGAATGTCGATTTTCAAAAGTTTTTAGAGGAACACCACCACTAGTACTTTTGCTTTAAAAAGGAGCAGGCACACAGGGATGTCAAATAACACACAACAGAGTAGTTCAGAGATCTGCAAGCTGATTGTTATCTGAAGTTATAAATCCATATGGGGCAGCGATCTGTGTGAGCAAAAAATCCTGGTCTCTCAACATCCTCTGGAATCAAGTTACTCCAGCAAAGTGGCATGTGGGCATGTGCCCTGGTGGGAATTTATGTGTGAACAGGGCTCTCCCGACCCCTAAGCTGAGCTGCTTAGTAGTGTCTGTGCATTGTATCCTCTCATACTTCTCGCTGTGAAGCCAGTGCATTTGGGCCAGGTCAGTGTCGCTGCACTGGTCAGCGCAGGGAAGACACAAAAGTAGTGCAAAGGAACAGGAAAGAAGAAGTGCATCTCATCCATGCAAATATAAATTGTTCCCCTTCATTATTGTCCTTTGGAATTGGGAATTTCCTTCTCAGGATTGTTCCTGGGCTGACAAAGGCAAAGCCACTTGCTGCATGGGGTATCTAGGCCTTAAAGAAGAATAGTAATGAAAATCAGGTCCAGCTACTCAATCCTAGTCCCACTACACAGGGCGTATCTTTCCTATTTATTTTCTTGCTCCGATTTCAACTGTAAAAAGATAACACTAAGGCAGCTCCTCAGTCTGTTAAACCCTTAGTTCAGCAAGCAGACTTACAAAGAACATTTTCCAATAGAGAAGTCTACCACTTTCATCTGCAAGTGTAATGCTAGAGCACCCTGAAATGTGTTTCCCTGTGACATTGAACTCAACTGTTCCACGTACATTAGCGAGATCAGGTCTGTGACACATCACAACCCCAAAGCTTCCCAACTAATACTAAGAATGGAATAAGCAATCCATCACATGCTATGACATGTTCCCCAAAACACACACACACTCAAAACCTTAAAGTGGTGTCAGAATGTTTATTGAAAATGGCAATCTAACTGGCTGAATCAACGTGGGTAGCGGGTAACTTTTAACAGAAGCAAACAGAGATACTGTAAACTTGCTGTGCATGGAAACTGTGTTTATACTTGAACTGGACTTGGAAGACTGAAATAATTTAATAGAAAAATACAGCTTAAGTTCCCAGGAGCTCTGAATGACCTCAAGATCATTCTGAAAGAAACCCAGAATAGAGGGACATAGCTAATGATGCAAATAGAGTTACACAAATATTTTCAAAGTCAGCTAGTAAAATACATTGTAGCCTTTTTGTTACAACAGCTTTGCAAATATACTTTAAAAACCACACTATTCAGTCCCACCAAACACCTGTCACTTGCATTATCAGAACTGATTGTAAGCATTTTGCAATGTAAATGCTGTCTTATTTACTTCTTAGTGAGTTTTTTAATTGCTGGAGCTGGATTTTTTTAGCTATACTGCTAAGATGCTTCCTACCACATAACATATGTGGTTCTTTCTTTGTGATGCAAGAGAAATAGATTGAAAGAGAAAAAAAGAAACAAACACAAGAAATTTCAAATTATTCTGTGTGGTCAATATAGTGACAACATAATTTGATTTATACAGAAACTAAAATAGCTGTGCACTGAAACATCTGCGTGGCAAGTGAAAACAATTCAGACACCACAAATTATGAGCTCTGTTGCTAATGAACCTAGAAAATTGTTATCAGGAGTACTAAAAAACCAAAGGGAATTTAACCTAATGTTACATAACGATGAACAAACTCCCATGAAAATCAGGAAATCCCTAAATCTAATAGTGTTTTTTTTTTTTTTTTTAAAGGGGTGGGGGGAGGGTAATTATCTTGTAACTTTATTGCTGAAAACAGCCAGAGGAGTCTAATGAAACTGCATTTACTCTTCTGCCGTGGACTGGGTATGTAGCCATGACTGAAGCCGACCCTGAGAGGTAAAGTTTGAAAAGCACCAAATCATAGAACCATTATTATGAAGACTTCCATTACTTTCACATAGAATACCACAGTATAAAATAAGGACACACTGCTGGCTACCAACAAGTCTTTATTTGTACCTGCATTTTCCACACCATTCATAAAACTCCCATTTTGACATGAAAACACAATGCAGGCAGAAATGAGATTGCGCTTTTCATAGAATGACAGAATAGTGTGGGCTGGAAGGGACCTTAAAGATGCTAGTTCCAACCACCCTGCCACAGACAGGCACATCTTCAACGCAATCAGGTGGTCAAATCCCTGTCCAATTTGTCCTTGAACACTTCGAGGGATGGGGTATCCACAACTTTCCAAAGCAATCTGCTCCAGTGTCTCATCGAGGTCATCATCCTGCAAAACATGACACATGCCCAGGATCGCAGCAAAATTCAGCACACAGCTTACATCAAGCCTTCAGGCTCGCAAGGGGGGGACCTGTTTTCTGTTTAATGCAGAAGTAACACATACATTTTGGTGTAATGTGTGCAAATGACTGACGCCCCAGAGAACCTTTGCCAACTTTTAAGAAAACTGCAGCACAAGTAGGTGGTTTTAAGGAGTAAAAGTGACAAGACTCCTGCGAGCTGCTACCCGTGTCTCCGTTTTGGGAATGAAACCTAGCGTTCTTCTCTTAGAGGGAAGCGAGCAGCAGGGTGCCGCAGCCCCGTCCCCGGGCCGGCGCGCACGGAGGGAAGGAGCTGCCGGACTCCGTACCGCGCCGGTGCCCCGGGCCTGCTCGCCGTCCTCGGCCTGGCCGCCAGCGGCTGCGCGCGCCTCTCTCCTTCCTCCTCCTCCTCCTGGCGGCCGCTGCCCCGGCAGGGATGGAGGCCATCGAGGATCTGGCGCTCAAACCCTGCACCTCCTCCATCTACCTGCGGCCTTACCGCCTCTGTTACAGACAGGTAAGTGGCTCCAGCAGCTCGCCCCTTGGCGATCGCCCAGCCCCTTCCCTCACGGCCGAGCCAGATCCTCCCGTCCCTTTCACCAGCCCCTTCGTTCTCCCGGGCGGCGAAGCCCCTGCTGACTCGTAGCCGCGCGGCGGGCCTGGAGGCCGAGGGAGATGAGCTGGCTGGCCCGCGGTCCCCCTGCCGTCTTGTCATCTCCCCCGCGCCTCCGCCATTTTGGGAGAGGGCAGCGGTGCTTCAGGCGCGTGGCGCCCTACCGCCCCGCCCGGAACCGCTCTTCCGCCGGCTGCGCTCCCGCTACCCTCCCACAGCAGCCTTCCCCGGGCAGCGGGGCGGGCGGGGTTCTAGTCGCGCAGCGGTCGTAGCTGGGAAGGCCGTGGGGTCACTGCCGTGGGGTCTGCCACCCACTCCAGCTCCTCCACGGGCCTGCCATGACCCCCGGTGCCCGCAACCTCAGCGAGGTCCGAGACTGTCGTCCTAACCCCGTTATGGTTTTTCACCTTTGAGTGGACACCTCTTGATTTGGGCCTTTCTTTGGTGCTGGTAGTTTTCAGATCGAGCCCATTGCTGACTAGCCCTTAGCGCAGCAGGTTGCTACATTGAGAAATCATGCCTGGTCAGCATTTTTACATCAATGTGAGTCACCTTTCACAGGATCCCTGAGAACTGGCACCTCCGTCAGTGGCAGGCAAGGTGCGAAAGGGAAGTCGCTTCTTGCAATAAAGGATTCCTTGAGCATTTTGTGTGAGAGAGGTCATGCGTGAAGCTGGTTGTTTCTGTAGCTGATGATGCAGCATTGGCCCGTCCAGGCTGAACTCTTACCCAGGGAGAGGCATGGAAGTGACAATGCAGCAGGATTTGGACAGCCCCTAGAAATGTACGCTGCAGACCATATCTTCTCTTACTTTGTGTTGCTCTTAAACACATCAGTTGAAAATACAGAAAAGGGAATGCACATAGAGGAGCTGTGTTCCAAGTCCAGCAATGAGATAAGGAAAAGCAAGGGTTCAAGTAGCTTGCATCAAAACAGATAAATCCATCTTTTCACCTTTTTTAAGAATACATTTTGTATGTAATTTTCCTAAAGAAAGCCTACTTCTCATCTTGGGATAAGTAAAACATTTGTGAACAGGTGAAGGCTTTCCATTGAATTAATGATTTATTTTTAGGGATCAGAAAACCTGAAGAACATTCTTTCATGTTCTGAATTTTTCTGGGTTAGTTACTTCGTAATTTTATTTTAATTTCTGAGTCATGCTCTATTTACATGAAAAGTGAGATTTAATTAAAATGTACAAAACAGTATTACAAAATTATATTTAATTGAATAAAAGTACCTTCAATGAGATGAGTATGGTGAAGAAGAAACAAGGATGTGTTTGGTTGCGTGCTATGATTTGACAAGAGACCAGTATTGCCACCAAAAGATACAGACTTGTCTTTTCTGCACATCTTGCTACTTCTTCTCCTTGCACAAGTGTTTGGAGCTAGATGAGGAATGTGGTCCAGGTAATACCTAATTGGCCAAAAAAAAGTTAGGTTTAACCTAAACAAAATCTTTTGATTTAATTCAAATGCTTATGCTGGCAAAGGGAAGGTGGTAATGTGGTGGTTAGGGATGAGTGTTTGGGGACTGGCTGAGGGCAGAGACTGTTTCTCTTGGCCACAGCACTGCCTTAAAATGAACATGAAATTGTAGTTTATATGACATTTGTACAGGAGCTGGCTTTCGTCCAGCCTACCGGGAGCATAAACAACAAATGCACAACTTCCTGCACCTGACCTGGGAGACAAGTCCTATGTTTATTAAAAACATATTTTGTATTTAAAAACTGACTTACTAACCAGAGGAAATACTGAGTATTTTCAGTCATTTGACTAATTGTTTCAAAGGGATTTAGGCCTGCTGAAAACCCTATTAAATAAGTAAACAGTTTAGGGTTTAAAATCTAAATGAAATAGGTGCATGATCTGCTTAAGAATTTCTGAAAATTCCACCACTCATCTAAGACTGAAAATTATTTACGAAATCTAGCCCTTGATCTTAATGGTTTTATGCTGAGTAGGCCTTCCCCCTGTCCAACTTTTTTTATTCACTAGCTAAAAAAAGAAACTTTTCTTCTTCTTAGTTCCTAATTACTGCTGTATCTTAGAGTAATATTAGTTTCCCCCTTCCATGGATTCCCTGCACCTGCTTGCTGAGCTTAACCCAGATCTTATAAAAAAGTCTTTCTGAATAAGAGAATAATCTATATGAGGAAGACTTAAATACTGACATTTGCTGCACTATGAAAACTGAAACTAGTTTGGATGCAATATGTGGCATCATGATGTAAGCAGAAGGCTTGGGTGATCTTACAGGTACATTTTGTGAAGCTGTAACATGTCCACTATAGTTCATTATAGTCTGAAGAAGATTCACTGCTGCGTATTCTTGTGTTCATATAATATTGATGAAGGATAATTTGGGCCTTGAAGATTAAGATTTTGAAATCTATTTTCAAACAGGTACATTTTTAAAATAGACATTGATACTTCAACATAAATTCTTTGCCCAAGAACATATATGAAATGGGAGTTATTTTATGACTTTGTGTTTTACAACTACTGCTTTTCTGTGCAAACAGGAAATTGAAAGGGTTTTTACATACATGTGATTTTAAGATTATTTCTGAGCATTCATGAACATTTATATTACAGCATTGATTCCTAGACATTTCACCTAAATGAAATGCTACTTCTGTGGATGTAATTTGGATCCCATCACTGTAGCTGAAACAGTTCAGTCTGTATAAGTGGAACATAAATTTAGATACATGTGAATAATATCAGAGTTTACCCTGCTAGTGTGACTTCATCCATTCAACCTGCACCCAACTGAGTTCTAAACACTCTAGTTCTAGCAGGTTTACAGACCACCAGAAAACTGCAAGACATCAGAAGGGGATCCATTTGGGAGCAGCAAGAGAGGGGATAAGTCTAAACAAACTGCTGTTTTAAGCCTACACAGGTTATGCACCTGAAGAAAATTGTAGTCACACCTGATCAAGGGTGGAGCCAGAGACTCAGAAGGTCATCTGCCTGTTCTCAGAGGTGCTTAAGACATTCAAAATTGCAGGCCCAAAGATTGGATTAGTGTTTTGACCAGCTCGGGTATCTGGATGTTCAGACACATACAGAAACAGAGTTGTATGTACTTCCAGTGAACTAAAGTGGTTTCTATCATGTTAGGGAAAACTCCATCAATGTCCTTCTAGGTTTGTGCTTGAGTCCTGAGTTCCCCTGTGTTGTAAGAGCTTGAGTCATCCTTTGGATTGAACCAGTTACATTGGTTACATATAGAAATACTCTTCCAAAAGACCACAAGGAAAACGTTTCTGGTTATTTTGCTGTCATAAGGGTTGTCTTAAGTTGTAGCAGTTCCCAGTGGTACAGCAATTTATGCTGATGGTGGATCTGCTCTCTCAGTAGAGGGTTATGAGATCTTTGATCATCCTCTTCGTTTGCCCACTCATACTTTACGTGAAATTGATGAGTTCTCAATGTTTCCTATAGAGCATAAAAGTAGGTGTGTACCTTCTGAAGGAATTCTAGGTTTTGAACAATGCAGACTGAGGCAACATGTAGCTTGGTGTTAGGCAGCCAAGCTGTGGCGAATAGCCAGGCTTACCAGACAAGTCACTGTACCAATCACTTTTTAAAATTATTTGTTCCCTCTTTCTGTAGTGCAAAGGTAGAAATAAAAGTGCAGTAAAGGAGTCATGCAATTCAGCAAACTGTAGGAATATTTGGTTAGGGTTAGCGTGGAGGGGTAAGGTACAGTTTTAAACGGTGTTCTTCAAAATAAGTATCTTAACAGCTCCTCAAAATGGCCCTCACTTACTACTTAGGATTTTCAGCTATTGGCCCTTTCCCCCAGGTGGGGCCCTCAGTCAAGTAAGCCATGTTGTTTTAAGTGAGGTGGCCTGAGGGTGAGAGATGGATGAAGTATCTCAGTTAGCCTGATGAATATCCTCTTCATTTTGTTGGTAGAAACCCTGTTTACATATTTTTGTTCTGCTTGGTATTGAAAGAAGATAATTAATTTTTCTCACATATAGGATAGCATGTGGCTGGGTTTAATGTGTACTTGCCCCCAAAGTGCAAATTGATTTGTTATCTAAAGTGGGTTTGGTTTTTGGTGGTTTTTTGTTTGTGTTTTTTTTTTTTTAAACATATATCATGTCCTGAAGAATTGGCTTCTTTACCAGAAACTCCATGGTAAATCTCTTTTCACTTTTTCCTATTGAAGATTTTCTGCTTTTCATAAATAATGTATTCAAGAGCCTGGAGGGATGGCTAATGAGAGATTAACTCAGTGCCCAGGGGCTAGGGCATTTCCCTGGGATGTGGTAGTCAGTCTGCAAGATCTTGCTTCAATTAATACTGCTTCCCACATCACAGCAGAGTGTGCTCACTGCTGGGAAACACATTGGTGTGTAAATCTTCAGCTCTTTTGTGTGTGTTATCCAGGCACTGGCCTATATATTAGACAGACAAAAAAAAAATCAAGTTTAATAATTCTGCTGAGTCTGTCACGAAGTAGACTCTGAGAAGTAACAGTTGAGAAGAGTTGTTAGGAGTTGGGGCAGCATTAAGTAGCTAAATGGGAACTCGTATTCAATGTAGTCTTCTTAATCAGCACCTAAGCAGGGATGTTAGTGGTTCTGTCTGTTGGATTTGGACCCTAACACAGGGCTTTAACAGAGAGAGCTCTGGTCAATCTTGTAATAATTTGAGAAGTTACTGCATGCAATGATTTGTCCCCATGGTAGCAGTTATTACCCCTGAGAATCAGCAGAAAGTAGTTTTGCTCCAGCTTTTACTCTGCTGTTCCAGTTCAGACCTCCAGCAGCCCTTTAAGCTAAATTGCTGAGCTTTGCACAGAACTAAGTGAATTGTATTTGCATATTCTTTTTGGTGACCTCTGTGCTGGGGACAGTATCCTTCAAGGGGAGGCAA